GTGAGTTTGAGGCCAGCCTGGGCTACCAAGTGAGTCCCAGGAAAGGCACAAAGCTACACAGAGAAACCCTGTCTCGAAAAATAAAAAAAAAAAAATATCTTCTGTTACATAGTAAGTTCAAATCCAGCCTGGGCCACTTGAGACGCATCTCAAAAATCAGTCAATCAATCAATAAGTTAGTAAGTAACTTAATAAATAATTGTCTGATTGAAACTTGAATACATAATCTCATATATGGTTTTGATTCAATAGTTATAAATAAGTGCTCTTAACTGCTGAGCCAGTGCTCCATCCCCAGCAAGTTATTTTTTTTTATTGTTTTATAAGTAATCTGGTGGTTTGATTGAGAAAGGGTATTATCTAAAAATAATAAAAAGAATCTGCAGGAGGGAATATTAATCTAATATTTGTTTGATTGCAAACATAATGACCAAGACTGAAGCATGAAGAAATGTAACATTAGAATAGATGTATAATGAATAAAGAGATTGAACCAGCACTCAAACCTTCCAATAAAAAAAAATTCTTAAGACTAGATGGCTTTAATGGGGAATTCTACTGAAAATTGAAATGATTTTTAATTAAAGATTTATTCTATTTTTATGTATGCATATTCATGTGTCTTTGTATCTGTACTCATATATGTGTAGGTTCTTGTGGAGGCCAGAGAAATCATTAAGTCCCAAGTGTAGCACAAATTCTAATTAGTCTTAATAATAAAAACCCAGAGTCAGATATCAGGGTGAAAGCTGAAAGATCAGAGAAGCAGAGCAGGCAGCCACTAGAAAGACTTCTTACCTTTAGACATCCTCAGACCAAAAGGGCTGAGCTCCTGTCTCCACACCACCTTATCACTTCCTCTCTATGCAGTCATATCACTTCCTGTCTCCATTTGCCTAGTGCTGGGATTAAAGGCATGTGCCTCCCAAGTACTGGGATCAAAGGCATGAGATCCCAAGTGTTGGGATTAAAGGTGTGTGCCACCACTGCCTGGCTTCTATGGTGAGCTAGTGGCTAGCTCCAGGCAAGCTTTATTTGTTAGTGCACAAACAAAATATCATCATACTCAGGTGGTTGGGAGTGACCTAATATGAGTGCTACAAAGTGAATTACAGTCCTCTCTGAAACCAGCAAGTTCTCTTAAGTGCTAAGCCATTTCTCCAGCCTTTTACCAATCATTTAAAAGAGAATTTACATGCATCACAAATGTTGGATAGACTCTCTAGTTGCCTTTCTGTCTCTCAGAACTTGAGCCAACCTTGGCCTCTCAGGCTGGTAGCCTCTCTCCTTTGAAAGAGTTGATAAAAATGTTCTGCAAATTCATAGCCTTTATAAAGAATTCAGTTATCTCCCTCCCACTTGCAGCTGTAAGCAAGCTCCACCCTCTGATAATCCTAGACCAAGGACAATTCTGAATTATAACATTACTTTTATCAGTGCCTTCTCAGGCAGGGCCAGCTAGGTCATATAGTATGAAGCTTGCCTATCTCCTTGAAAATTTGTAAGAGTCAAAAGCCTCCCTTGTTCTTCATATTTGAAAAGAAGTTTCTGTCTCTGTTTAAGATTGTATAATGGCTGTATATGGCCATGGTGCTATGTATATCTTGATGTTACAGCAATAAAATGTCTATCATTTTCCCCTTAGGGCCATGCTATACTTGATAGCTATCCTTCATAATGGTCTCCCATTTCAAAGCCTCATCACAGTTTCACACAGTGTGAGATTCTCTCCCTACTCCCCTCCTCTCTCTTATTAAGGGTGCCACAAAAATAAAAGATTTTATTAACAGGTATTAGTTGTGCATATTAATTTAACTCAGTGTCATATTTAATACACATGTATATCAGGCACAATCAAAAGCAGCCTCCTTTTCACCACTCCACTCTACTCCTTCTCAACCTTTAGTAATCACTATTCTATACCCAAGTTGACTTCTTTTAAACTCCCATATATAAGAGAGAATGTGCAGTACTTGTTTTCTATGTCTAACATTTCAACAAATACGAGAACCTCCAGTTTTATCACTGTTTCAAATGACTGGATATCATTCTTTATAAATGACTAGTACTCCACTATGAGTGTGTGTGTGTGTGTGTGTGTGTGTGTGTGTGTGTGTGTGTGAGAGAGAGAGAGAGAGAGAGAGAGAGAGAGAGAGAGAGAGAATAATGACTGACTCACTATCTCAGCTATAATGAATAGTACCACAGTTAACATGAGCATTCAAGCATTTTTTTGATATGTTGATTTCACTTCCTTTGAAAATATGCTGAGTGGGATAATTCAATCATGAAGTAGATCTACTTTTAGATCTATACTGTTCTTCAAATGACAATGTGAGTTTACATTTCCACCACCACTGTAAAAAAATTTCCCTTTCTCTATAACCTTCCCAGGATTTGTTTCTATTATTAATATAGTCATTTGGATATCTCATTGCAGTTTTGATTGGCATTTTTCTGATGGCTAGGGAGCAAGTAGCATATTCTTGGATTAAAAAATACTGGATTGTTTTGTGTAAGAATATGGCATGTGTGTTTGTATACGTAAATATATGCACATGTGGCTGGATGTCCATGTGCAAACACATGAAGCAATCCCCAAAATCTTTGTGAAGTTAAACTTTATAAAGTCTATATAAAGCTATACATTTACAAATACCATATAAGATTTTAGCTACTTGTAGTTATTTAATACTTAGATTTTTGTTTTTATGTATTTATGTTCTTCTGTTTGAAAATGAGACAAAATATAAAAAAGTTAAAATTCATAAAATTAAATGAATATAAAAGGAACTTGAGTTCTTTCCTTGAACTGATGGCAATAAAAAACATTGCACAAACAAACCAGACTTGGGAACAAAGGAGATACTGAGAGTGGAAAAACCTCTGGAAAATATTCAAAATTACAGGGCCAGTCTCAGGGTTTTTTTAAATTATTTTTTAATATGTGTGCATGAGTGTCTGCATGTGCATATTTGCACCACATGCATGTGTAGTGCCCACCAAAGCCAGAAGAAGGTGTCAAAAAAAACAAAACAAATCCAAATAAATGTTCATGTGTGTGCATGTGTGTATCTATGATTGCATGTATCCAAGTGTGAGGGTGTTTGTGTTTTCTAGCTAGGCTGGAGTCCAGCAAACCCAGAGAGAGACCCTCCTCTAGCTACTCCTTTTTGAGCTGGGATTCTAAGAACTGGCAGAGAGGCCTAGCTTGTTATGTAGGTACTAGTATCTGAACTCAGATCTTCATTATTGAACAAGTCCTCTTAGCCACTTGCACTATCTCTCCATCCCCCAATCTAAGAATTTTTAAGGACTATAAGAATGGCCTTAAGTGTGGTGGTAGTGCATGCCTACCAGCACTAGGGAGGCTGAGGCAGATCCCTGTGAGTTTGAGACCAGCCTGGTCTACAGAGCTGGTTCCAGGACAGCCAAGGCTTTCACACAGTGAAACCCTGTCTTGAAAAACAAAAAATAAAATAAAATAAAAAACAAACAAAAACCCTGGCTTTAAAATACCTCAAGCTAAAATTGGCAAATGAGAAAAGGAACCAGGTGATATATGAATTCCTTAGGGGAGGGAGAAGTTAATAGAACATTAAAAAAAAAAAAGTTGGTGTGAAGGCCTAGACTTGACTTTACAGGCTCCATCTTAGGGAAAGGGCCACCATCTCAAACCACCTGTTATACTCAGTTCCAGAAAGGACCTCAGGAATGTGCCATGACGACTTGAACAAATACAGGCTCCTGCAGGCATCCTGTCTGTGGTTTATGGCCCTTGAAGATATCTAGATAATCCTGCTGAGCAGTCCAGATAATCCTGTTCATCAGGTTGTGGTTTCCCGACAAAAGTCTTACCCAATGGTATCAAATGTGGTTTCATGCCTGAAGTCTAGACCAATAGTTTCAAAAAATCACCTTGCCCCATATCCCTTCTACCCAATCTCAAGTTGCCAATTCTTGGCTTGTGGTCTTTCCCTATAAAAACTCTACTACACCTGGGTTTGTGGCCACCACCACATTTCCTTCCATCTGCCCTGCGGTGGCCCAGGTTGAACCTGAATAAAAGGACCCTTATGTGCTTGCATCGGAAACCAGCTCCTCAGTGGTCTCTGGGGGTTTTGCTAAATGGGTACTATAGTTGGAGTAAGTGGAGTTGAAAGAAAGTATCCAGAAGACGGATGGGGGAGAATTGTCTGTCTGTGTTGCCCCTCCCCCACTCTCAGAAGCCCTTTGTGATGTTGAGACCTGGCTTTGTGATGGGGAATCCCCAGCTCAGTGATGTGGGCCTGGGTTATCCTTCACCTCCCAGGGAGAACTCCCACCAGTTCCATTCAGATGGAGACTCTTTCCTCTCTTCTAGAAAGAATATACACCACATGGGTGAGCCTCAGCTCCACTATGTGGGTGATGGACATGATCCTTGCCTTTGTGTGTGGACTGGGGCTCTACCTCCTGTTACTTCCCTTCCTTGAGAGTCATCTATCTTCACCTCTACCAAATATAAAGTTCACCAAAAAGGTAAGAAACTCTCAGTCTAATCTAATAGACTCTAACAGAGAATTCTCATTCTCTCTCTCTCTCTCTCTCTCTCTCTCTCTCTCTCTCTCTCTCTCTCTCTCCTCTTTCCCTCTCTGTCTTCCCCTCTCTCCCTCTTTATCTTCCTTTCCTCCACCATCCCTCTCATTCTTCCTATCTCGGTGTATATCCCTTAATTTTTAAATTAGCATACTAAGTTTTGGGTTTAATAATGGGATCTTCAAACAAACTTTGTTTTCGTTGTCTGCTGTCTTCCATCCCCCTTTCCTCCCTACCTTGTCTGTGTTCCTCCACTCCCCACAAGCCTCTTTTTGGCTTTCATGTCATATAGGTTCTTTTGCCCATCTCCCCTGCCTTAATACCACAGTTTAGTACAAATTTCCACAAATCAAATAGAGAGATGGGCTGGGGAGCCATCTCCAGAAAGAACAGAAATCTATTCTCCTGGTAGCTGGTGGGGCAGGGTTGAGAGTAGACACCAGGGCATCTATCTGGAGCTCACAGTATGTCTGTGAGGTGTGCTGATATGCCAGGGTGAACTTGAATGGCATGATTTCATGGATAAGATCTGCATTCTTGATAGAGTTGGGGATCTCTTTATCAGAGATAGGACAAGCATTGAGCACTGGTTCATATATTCCCTCCTCCTGTACAATTCTTTCCTCTGTGATGGGTTGTCTGAGGGCTGAGCTGAGCCTCAAAAGGTATTAGATCTGAGGCCAGAGTGACAACTGGCTTCAAGAAACAGAATTCTACCTGGCAATGAAGCAGCTACAAAGGTTTGACTCTTGAGCAGAAGAACAGTGACTGTAGACATCCATGATTGAGCTCACAGTGCATCTATTGGAAGACCAAAGAAAAATATCAGGTGTTCTGCTCTATAACCCTCTCCTTAATTTCATTAGACAGAGACCTTGCAACCCCAGTGCTATGGGAGGCAGTGACAGGTAAGGATCTCTGGAATTTGGTATCTCTTAGCCTAGCCCCAAGTTCAGATCCTCTCCTATCTCTGCCTCCCATAACACTGGGGTTACAACCACATGTGCAACTACATGGCTTCTTACATAAGTGATGGGAACTTGAACTTAGGTCCTCACATAACAATGTTCTTATCCACTAGGCCCTCTCCAGGGCTCTCTTTTTATATTTCTTAAAGAAAGAAAACAAGTTGGCAAAAGTGCTCAGCAAGTAAGTTTTTGTTTTGCAAGCATGAAGATCTGGATTCAGATACTCAGCACCCAATCAGAAAGCTGGGCATAGTGATATGTGTCTATAGTTTTGGTGTTGGGAAAACAAATCCAGAAGGATCCCTGAAGCTTCCTGGTCAGCCAGCGAGTCTGACTGCATCAGTAAGTTCCAGGTTGAGTAAGAGACACTATCTTTAAAACTTAGAGTGACAGGAGAATACTGACATAGATCTCTGGTCTCCCATATTCATACACATTTGCACATAAATGAGAAGGGGAGAAAGAGACAGAAAGAGGGGGGAGAGAGACAGAGACAGAAAGAGAGAGACAGAAAGACAGAGAGGAAAAATAACAAATTTTTTTTTGCACTCACTCACTTTAAAAATGTGAAGTTAAAACAAAAACAGAACCACTGGTCAAGCTTGGTGGTGCACTTTTTAAACCCAGTACTAGGAAGACAGAAGTAAGTAGCTCTCTGGGAGTTTAAGGTTAATCTAGTTTATATAGTTAATTCCAGGCTAGCCAGGGCTGGGGAGATAGATGTCTTAGCATTTAAGAATACTTGCTGTTCTTCCAGAGGAACCAAGTTTGCTTCCAGAACATATAGCCCACAACTACCCATACTCTAGTTCCAGATCCAATACACTATTCTGGCCTCTGCTACTGGTCAGGCACACATCACACACACACACACACACACACACACACACACACACACACACACACACACACACACACACACACCA